CGAGCATGTTTGGTGTGACAGAGATTCGAACCCGCGACTCTCAGATTGCGAGTCGAGTGCCTTAACCACCTGGCCATGCCGGGCCCATAAAGAAGAGAGTCTGATTAAAAGCAAATACAATAACTTAGCCAGGTATGAAAACTCAAATATTGAAGTATAGTATAGAACGTCTATTGGATGATGTAATCAAAAATAAATGTAACTTTAAAAAACAGTAAATAATTTTGTTCATTAATACTTATATGTACACTCTTTCTAATTAAAAAGTTAATTAAGTTTAGGTAAGAAGATTGTGATAAAGTATGGCTTTGTAGTCAGTTAAGAAGCTGTATTGTATATAGAAATATTTCCCTAAAAATACTACATACAACATAAGTGAACACAAAAGTTCAGAGTCATGTAAATGTGGATTCAGTTCTGTATCCCTATAAATACTACATGTAAATACAGAAGTTCAGAGTCATGTGTACGTGGATTCAGTTCTGTATCCCTATAAATATTACAAACAGCACACCTAAACACAGAAGTTCAGAGTCACGTGTATGTGGATTCAGTTCTGTATCCCTATTAATACTACATACAACATATGTAAACCTGTGTTAGAGCCAATATGAAAAACAGGTCATAATTTTCTGCATTAAAAACACAAATATATTCAGAAAAAAATGTTTGCATGGAACAAATGTATTTGATTACCACATGGCAAAAGTTGTTAATATTTTATGTTTCACCATGACATAAAACCAGAAATTCTGAGATAAGCTTTAATTTTTTTTTAATTTTCTGTCTATCTATGCATCTATATATATATATATATATATATACCAAGTATACCACACTATTTTTTTTTAAATTAAACTAACTTACCAATGCCAAATGTTAAACCTATCATTTTACTGTATATTTGTTTGGCTTGCCTCGCATGATAGAGTACATAGCTCCCAGCACCAAAAATTCCCAAGCCACTAATTATTCTACATTGAGTGCATTTCATTTGCTGCATCTTCAAATCTTCTTGTTCCAATTGGTTAGCCGCAGTGCTGGGTTTAACTTCTGCAGCATGCGTTGACATGTTATCACTTCTGGAAAGTAGATAAACACATTTTTTAACCTTTGATTTACAGAGAAAGAGAAAAAAAAAAGAATAAATATACACAAAATAATATATCTATAAATATCACCCAGACTATCTAATGAAGAATGTCTACTGTTATATCTTACAGTAATATATTCATACATAGTTTACTATAAGGATTTAGACTCCCTCCAGTATGCAAATCTACTTAAAAAATATATTACGTACAGATATATTTGTAGGCTAATAAATTATAGCTGTAACTGTCTTAATGATAATAATAACTTGAAATAAATTTTATATGAAATTACAAGCACATATGAAATGTATAAATAGATCTGAACAATAGTTTTCTAACTAGTTTTGACCAACGTTAACTCTATTTGTAAAAGTGGGGGTCAAAGCGCACATCTTTTGACTGACATTAATCCTATTTCCAAAAGTGGGGTCAAAGTGCACATGCTTCAACCTTTTACAGAGTGCCCTTCAACAAGATATTATATATTTGATTTCAGAATTTTCAACTATTCACGTTACCCTACCTTGCTGATTTAGCAACAGTTTGTGAGAGAGGAGAGTAAATGCCAGATACAACATACAGAGATACTGAAGAAAAACTAGAGGTTACACAGTTGTAATATACAAACTGTACAATGGACAAAGGTGTTATTGTTCTTATCATGAACATCACCTTGCACTCTAACTTGTCAGACTGACATTGTTAATTCACAGGTATATCTTGGGTACAAATACTTGTGTAGGTAAACATGTGGTAAATTTGGAATTATAGCCAATATTCCTTCTCCAGTATCGAGTCAGTCCAATGGACCAAGTCCATTCACATTCAGTTAAAATACTCCTCTTAACTATAGAATGCTACAGACATTCAACTGAGTGTTAGCCAGCACTTCTTTTATTTTATTCTTGTATCCAAAAAAATACTATACCTAATTAAAAACATTTCAGAAATTGTAACAACTATCAATCATTATATAGTTTTCCCATTGAAAAGTGTGCAACCAGTTCTTAATCAAACAGATCTTCATAGTTATGACAATAAGGTAATGGTGTAATCTATTCATGACACACGATGATAGAAAAACACCTAATTTTCTTTTCTACAACTGCAATTAGATCTACCATGGTTTCAAATGCCATTCTTATACTAATACAAAACAGAGAGCTTTTAATTGTGCTCTAAGCACTTTATTTTGTATTTAAAGTTGTCTATAGAACATGACAGTTACAGTTAGACCACTGGAACTTTAATGTTGCTTTTTTTATCAAGAAAAATCTGGTTGATGTTGTTTTAAACATTAGTCTATCAGATTTAAAGATAAATACAGAAGAATTATGATTAAGTTTAATTGTCTTATTATTTAAATGTTAGGAGTAGAGGAACAAAATGGATGAGTTTAGGACTAGTAGAAATGGAGGACTAAGATGTAATTGAAATTACTAAAATTTGTTTCGATTTGGAGAATTTTGATAATATAAATTATTTTGAAATTCCATTTCAGGTAATAAGTTATTTAATAGTAATAGAATGTTTAAAATATGGCTGGGTGGTTTTTTATATAAGTAATGAGCTGCAACCTGTCAGAACTGAAGTAATAGAAATGGTAGTCAAGAGGTTGAATTTACATGTGTTACAATCATGAGTATCAAATGTAAAAAACTTTTAACTGGCAATTGTCATAGGCCACTTGATGAGGTCAATGAGAAATTGTATAACAAAATCAGGATTGCTAATCATAAGAACCTAGATGCAATAATTATAGGATACTTTATTTTTAGGAACACCAACTGGGGTAGTACAGACTCAAATAGTGAAGGAAAAAGATGTGGATAGACATTAGGAAATCCAAAAGGGATACTGAGAAACAGCTAGCTAATAATGTTAACATCAACAGCAAAAATGATTTTTGTTTGTTTTAAGTATGTTAAAGGTAAGTAAGCAAAAGTTAGAATGGGGTTGAAGCCCTTAAAAAATGCTAATGACAAGATTACTGTTAAAGATAATGATCTGGTTGAGAATTGAGATTTTTTTCAGTATTTACAAGAGAAGATAATAGCAATAACCTTAAACAAGAACAATCTATGAGAATTACTGGAATAGACCTGAATCATGTTGATAATAATTCCTTGGTTGTAAGTAAAAAGACAAAGTAGGTTAATCATCAGGTCCAAAAAAAGTTTTTCTCAGAGTTTTAAAGTAAGTAAAAATTAGAAACGTGAGCCTCTTTCTTTCCTTTTTAATAGGTTAATAAAGAGTGGACAGGTGACTGAGAATCGGAAAGTTCTTTGTATTACTCCTAATTTATAAAGGGGTGATAAGAGTTGCCCTGGGAATTATAGGCCAGTTAGTTTTACTCCTATAATGGGAAGATTTCTAGAGTCTGACAAAAGAAGCTTTCTAAAATCATTTAGAGAAATATCATAAAAGAAAGTCAACACAGATTCACTAAAGAGAAATCTTGCTTTTACAATTTGTTATCTTTTCTTGAGGAGTTACTTGTTATCTGAACAAAGGAAAGAGTGTACACTTAGTGCAAGTGTGAGATAACGAATTTCAATTTTATTTTTTTGTGGTTTTGTTTAATTTTCATTTATTATTCTTTTTATTGTTTAGCTCAATTATTAATTTTTAGTTACATTAACGTGCTAACTCACCTTTTATTAAGATCAGGTTGATTTTGAGTATGTATGTATTTTAAAACTTGCACAAGTTTCCCCTAGCGGTGATGTTCAGATACTAATGTTGTGAAAGATTATGTACATTTATGATAATAGCTACTCACATGAGATGTAACCTTATGGTCTAACCACTAAATAAAAATCCTTCCTTGATCTTGAATATGGGTAAGTTCACAAGATATAGTCAGAAAGAATTATTGTTAATTATTGCTCAGTATTGTTCTTGATATTGAGAAGAGCTTAATTTTGAAACATTGTTATTATCTGGTGAATTAGTTTTTTTTTCCTAATTTCTTTGATATTGGAATTAATCACATTGCGATTTATGTTGTGTTGTGTATTAATGTTTGTACCTAGTCCTGGCCAGGCACAGGTTTTCTAATTAGTTTTTTGTAAATGATAAGATTTATATATATAGATATATTCTAGTTGTTTGAAAGTTCTTTATTTATCTTGTTATATTTAATAAAATGTGTTTGTTTGACCCTGGTCATAGTAGCATTTTGTTTCATATGTTATACAATTAGATTTGTAAAAAGCTTTACATGAGGTGTTACATAAAAGATTAGCTCAGAAAATCACATCAGTAAGGGCTGGAGAAATATTAGTTAATTGGATTTAGGGGTAGTTAAACAGTAGAAAAATAAAGGTTCTTATTAATTATATTATTTGTTATTGATAACAGCATTTAAAATAAGTAAATTAATAAAGTTTGTTGATGAAACTCAAGTGTTGAGTATTTCTAGCTGTACTGAGAATATTGAGGTATTACAAAATGACTTGGATCAACTGGTAAGTGGAACAGATGATAATTACAATAATGACTCTATAGACCAAATGTCCAATGGTATGCATACAAACGAAATAAGTATACTAGCCAAAATGCCTCTACCAAGCATAACACTCTCAGTGCTGTATTATAATAATATATAGATATAAGATGATACAGACTAATGGATCTATTTTTTAAGACCATCACTACTGAACTATATATGGAAAAGGGTTATCCTTGTTGGATTTTTCAACGAAAAAAAATTATAATTTTTATTGAAAGATGATGAAATGTTTAAGTACAAATTATGTGCTTTTTTTAAAAATCTGGAAATATGTTTGATATTATGACATTTCTTAAAGTGACTGACCAAGTTTTGGTAAGGGAAACAGTGATGGGTATAACTATTAACACTACATGTTGATATCCTTGGTAGTTTAGTTTTTGCCACTGAAAAGATCACAGTGATATAGAAATGAAGATCCTAAAATGAAAATATATCAGAACTATCTCTAAAGTATACTTGCAGGTGAATGTGGAAATGAAATCAATTTTCATAAAATCATGTTGGACGTTTGGACCAGTGAACTTCATTATGGAACCATAATTACAATAAGTATGAGGTGATGCATTTTGATTATCATAATTTGAATCACACATTTTAACAGAGAGGAGAACCAACTCAATAGCATGATTAAAAAATAATTTTGAATTAGTGGTGTATGAGTTACTCAAGGCATCGAAGCAATGTTCTGTTGCTAGTAGTAAAACCAATAGAATTCTATGATGCTTTTATAGACAATGAAATGAGGTAATTATATCTCTATGCAAAGCATCAGTTAGGCTTTACTTGGAACACTGTGTACAGTTTTGGTCTCTTTATCTAAGAAAGGCTATTGACTTACTAGAAGGGGTTCAGAGGAGGGCTTAAGATGATTCATGTAACGGGGTATTTTACATGTATTTTCTCTTGAGAAAAGAAGGGTAAGATGTTATCTTTGTTTTTGAAGTTACAACTAGTGTTTTACATAATTATCTGGGGAATGAATAAAGTTGCGACCTCTGGTGTATTTCTGCAATATTCTAGAGATGATAGAATGTGAGGACACAAGTTTAATATTTGAAAAAGACAGGCTACACTTTCATTAAGACAATTTTGTAATAGGAGAATTTACTTTTCCTAGGGATTAGTGTGAAAAAGAGTCTTGAAAGGCGAAATGGTTCCATGTTATCCAAAATTAATCTTAGATTTAATATATCGCATATTAATAATAATTTATATATTACTTCTACTTTTGTAGTTGTAACTGTAATATACTCACTTACTGTAATAAATTATTATACAAAAACAATTTCCAAAGAAATAGAAAAGAAAATGAAGTTGCAATGTAATTCGCAAGCGTTTAATATATGTTCGTTATTTTGAATAGTATAAAGGCTTATGGTTTGCCTTAAGACAAAATTCAATACCTGTTTTAAATTAAAAACATCGGTCGTTCAACTTTTAGTATGTGTACTAATAATAATAGTACTGCATACTAGTACATTACTCTAGGCTTACGCTATTTACAGTTACAGCCTGACTGATATAGTATAGACAAAACTAACTAGGGATCTCATAACAAATAATATTAATATTCATACACACAGCTTTAATTATTTCTTACTCGTTACCTGGCTCTACAGACACTAAATTTGGTCAAAACTTTGATATTTGTATAAAAAGTGTATTTCCACTTTTGGTTAAATTTTCGCTTTCATATAAGTCGTAAAAGTAAATAAGAACATGATTTGAAAAAAAAAAAAAGAAAGAGAGAGAGAGAGAGAAATTTTATCTAGAGGGCGTGTTCCGTATACTTAGAGATAAACCTCCATATACTAGATATTAAAAGAAATTCCAGTATTTGTTTTTTTTTGTTTCTTTTTGTTGTTGTTTTATTGAATTTCACGCAAAGCTACTTGAGGGCTTTCTGCGCTAGGCAATCATCTATATCACATATGTAATATAGGCAGTATCATTAAAATTCGAACTAACTGTTTTGATACTATATAAATATGGGGCTTACCTCCTCGATTTCTTTTACAACGTGTAAAATACAGAATATCACCAAAACGGGAATTTTGATAACTTAGCTATTGCCATACGGATTCACCCTCTGACGGACAAACGATCACAACAACTCCACTTTGGAATAATATTCATGGTTACGAATCAGATAGATTAATTGTATTGATTATAATATTCGGAGAACTGGTACTGTCAATAAGAGGCGTTTGACAAACAAAATCCATCGAAGCTGGTATGTGATAAACTGTATTTATTGTAAGATACGTGTATGCAGTTTACTAGTCGCAATCACTGCTTATCTAATAAATTTAAATAATAATATAATAAAATTTCACTGGTAATTGCATTTAATATATTGACTCAGAGTCTCGTTATCTACACACAATATTATTTATATAGCCCTTTTTTATGCTAAACTGTCACATTCTTCCAGTGGTATTGTATTATGTGTGAGGGAAAAATAAGTTTTTTTTTATTCTTTCAGAGAATTCATTTATAATTTAAATAGCTTCTACCTTTCGTAATGTAACTTTTAACACAGCTGTTTGTTTACAAGTCTTTTGTTTTATTGCAGTCCTTAAAACTGTTATAGTTTAAATAAGGTAAATGGTAATTTTTTTTGCTTATGCTTATTTTATCACCGATGTTAGTGGGTGCTTGCTTTGTAAAATGAAACGTGTGTTTTTGGCATTTGGAATTGAAAATGATATATAGTGTGCTTGATATAGAAATAATCAATTAAATTCAATTATGTTTGCCACATACTGAAGCTGGTCAGAACTATTATTGGCTTATATAGCATCATTGTTGATGAGAAGGAGAAATAGCAGCATCTAGAAGGTCTCAACAAACAATAATAAAAGGAGGTCCTACATCTTGGAAACAAGCTCAAGCCAACCCACATGGAGTGGTAGTTCCAGAAGATGACGGTTAATCTTGCTGTCTAGACACTAAGTTCAAACATTAGTCAGCAGCAATTACAGCTGGAGGAGTTTGCTAACAGTGAACCTACCATTAGGTTTATTAAGCTATTTGACATACAGAACTCAAGGAAACCTGTGTGTCGCAGCTGCAAGGCACACATCAAGCCCTCCAACAATATCTCTGTGATGCTGTTCTTACATGGAGCCTACCAGTATGCAGCAACACTGAAAAATCCGAGTGGAAAGACATTCATGATTGGTTTTATGTCAGTCATCAAAAGCATCAAAATCCTGTATGAATAATACGTGAAACCAGATGCACGACAACTGCCCTACTTGTTGTCCTACAAGTTAAGCCAGAATCACCTGAAAGCTGCTGGTGAAAGTTGTATCCTGCTGGATATGCCAAAAATCCAACAGGCAACAAAAACAATTAAATCATTGAGAGATGCAGTATCAGACAAGTCGCAGGATATCCTGGTTTCCAGGCGTCATGACGTGTTGCTGTCTGTTGACGATTCAGATGAGGACTTTGATGCTTTCTCGCAAATGCCTGCCCTAGAAAGCTTTTGTGGGCTACAAGGCCCGATTTATTGTTTACTTGGTCAACAAGAGGATCCACTGTCCTGAGTGCCAATCAATACTGACAGAATCAGAGTGCAGAGCTGATGAACCAGACCACACTTTCATTTGTATCAAAGATAAATATTGACTTATCAAATTCTCAAAAAATGTCGTCAAGGGTTGTGAAGCCACGGAAAGGTGTTTCCAGTATCTGTTGATTTCAAAAGATTCAGATTTGCGACCTGAAATCCCATCTTTTATAATACACGCAGTCATAGTGGAGGTTGCATACATCACCTTTGATGACATACTCCAGCACATGTTTGATTCAGAGCCTTATAACAACCACATACTTGCCTAGATAAAATACATATTTTTGTGCTTTTCTAAGATCAAGCCGCATCATTTGGCAAATAATAATAATAATTTTGTTTAATCTAAAATTCTATTGGTAATTTCATGTAATTGTATTGATTCATAGCCTCAATATTTACACAAAAAGTTATTTATATCGGTCTTTATGCTAAATTATTAAGTACTTGCAGTGCTATTGTAAATAAAATTAAATATTTAATTTTTTCTGCGAACTCATTTGTAATTTAAAGAGATGTTTCCAATAATCAGTACATTGTTACACCAACTGAGAAATGTTTAGTTTTGCAACAGAAGATATATTTTCTTGAATAGTTATTAACAGATTTCCTTTTAATAACACCAAACATTAACTGCAATAGTTAATACGGTAGGCTATCAAAATACCAGAATTATGGTAATGGATAAATTCTATAAAAAATTTGCTGTTTAATAATTATTAATATTAATTTTTATTCATAAATGTTACTTGCGTTTGCATTAAAGGTTCTTGTGCATCAGATCTTGCTGATAAATTTGAATGTAATTAATTAATCCGTTCTTCTTTTATGTATTAATGTTGCTTTGAATTTATCTATATGAAAAATCCCCTTCATCTAGCATCAACAGAAATTGGTAACAGCTGTTGAATATTTGTTTCTTGTTTAATTTTGTATTTTTATTAAAAAAGAAGAATAAGAAATTCCATCACTATTTTCTTTGGCATATCGTTGTTATCTCTGATTTACAGTAAGCATCTAATATATTGTTACGTCTCCGTTTGTTAATTAACTTTCCGTAACTTCGTTCCGACGAAACTTTAGCGACACAAGTCC